CTCAGAGGGGCTGGGCTCGGAGCTGGGGGTCAGAGCTGCGGGGGGATGAGGTTGGGGGGTGCCCGGCTCAGAGGGGCTGGGCTCGGAGCTGGGGGTCAGAGCTGCGGGGGGATGAGGTTGGGGGGTGCCCGGCTCAGAGGGGCTGGGCTCAGAGCTGGGGATCAGGGCTGTGGGGTGCCCGGCTCACAGGAGCTGAGCTTGGAGCTGGGGTTCAGGGCTGGGGAGGGGATGGGGTCAGGGGGTGCCCGGCTCAGAGGGGCTTACCATGCCGCTTACCCCCACCTGCCAGAGCTTCAGCGAGCCGCGTCCAGGAGCTTCTGCCGCTCGGCCCGCCAGAGCCGCAGCCCCTCCCCCTTACCACCTGGCTCCGAGCGGGAGGACCTCAGGCCCCGCCCTAGCCACGCCGCTGCAGCGCTGTACAGGGCCGCTCCTGTACATGGCGCGCTGAGGCGCTGGGGGATGGGGGAAGGCGAGGGCAGAGGCGGAGAGGAGCCTCCGACATTCTCGTGGGGGCCCCTGCAGGGATCGGGGTCTAGGGAAAATTGCCTCACTAGGGGGCGTGCGGACACTCTGATATCAGCGCCCTTCTTTTCCCCGCTCTGTACAGCAAGCAGGAGGGTCCCAGGAGCAGCTGGCCAGGGGCTCCAAGGCAGAGGTAGGATTGCCAACTTTCTAATCACACAAAACTGAACACACCTGCCCGGTCCCTTGCCCTGCCCCTTCTCTGAGGCCCCACCATGCCCCATCATTCTCCAAGATCACGGCGCGTGCTCGCTCCTCCTCCCTCACTCACTTTCACCAGGCTGGGGCAGGGGGTTGGGGTGCGGAATGGGGTATGGGCTCTGGACTAGCCATGAAGGCTCTGGTGTGGGGCCAGAGATGAGAGGTTTGGAGTGCAAGAGGGGGCTCCAGGCTAGGGCAGGGGATTGGGATGTGGGGGTGAGGGTGAGGGCTCTGGCTGGGGGTGGGGGCTGGGGATGAGGGGCTTGGGGTGCGGGAGGGGATTCCGGGTTGGGCCATGGGGTTGGTGTGGGGGGGGAAGGGGGAGGGCTCTGGCTGGGGGTGGGGATGGGGATCAGGAGTTTGGGGTGCAGGAGGAGACTCTGGGCTGGGACAGGGGGTTAGAGTGTGGGAGGAGGTGAGGGCTATGGCTCGGGTTCTGGACTCATGGTTGGGGATGAGGGATTTGAGGAGTGAGAGGGGACTCCAGGCAGGGGGTTGGGGTGCGGAAGGGGATGTGGGGTCCCGGTGGCGCATACTGTGGCTCTAAGGAAGCGTCTGCCAGGTCTCGGCGGCCTCTAGGCACATGGGCGGCCAGGGGTTTCAGGCACTCGGGGCTGGGGCAGTGCACGGAAACTCCCAGTCCCTGGTTGCCTCAGCACCTAGAGCAGTGGTGGGCAACCTGAGGCCCACGGGCTGCAGGGACATGCTGGCCGCTGCTTCCCGCAGCTCCCATTGGCTGGGAATGGCGAACCGCAGCCACTGGGAGTTGCGGGTGGCCGTGCCTACAGAGAGTCAATGTAAACACTGTCTCACAGTCCGCCAGCGGATTACCCTGACAAGCCACATGTGGCCACAGGCTGCCCACCACTGGCCTAGAGGCTGCAGGAACCCGGCAGCTGCTTCCATGAGCCGCGCAAAGCTAGGGCAGGCAGGGAGCCTGCCTTAGCCCCAGGCCCCCACTGTGCTGCTGACTGGACTTTTAATGGCCTGGTCAGTGATGCCGACTGGAGCAGCCAGGGTCCCCTTTTGACTGGGCATTCTGGTCGAAAACCGGACCCCTGGCAACCCGAGGCAGAGGGCAGGAGCAATGCAGCTGCAGAACAGTAGGGGGAGGGACACCTCACTACATGCCGCTGTGCGCGGCTTTGCTAATCAAGTGCATTTCACTTGATTCACTGCTGGGCAGCTGCGCGAGTGCACAGCTTAGAAGGACACAGCTGGGACGAAGGGGAAGAGGTAAGGGTCCAGCTGGGTGTAAAACAGTTTGCTGGAAGAGACAGGGCAAATAGGCCCATAGACCACATAAGAGAGAATAACTGGAATTAGGACCAAATAGTATTCAAAAGAAAGTGTTCCCCCTACCCAGTATCAGCCAATGCAGAAGATCAGCCTGTTTGTCCACAACTAAAGATGGTTCTTGGCCCTAAACTGAACACCATATCTGATCTGAATACATTCAGGGTGAAGTCCCTGGCCCCACTGAAGTCACCATCAAAACTCCCATTGGCAGACAGGATTTCACCCTGAGATTTTTGAAATGCTCAGAATTGGGATCTGAATTTTGTGCCTTGAGCCCATCACTATAATAACTAATACATACATTTAAATATACTGGAATGGGTTACCTAGGGAGGTGGTGGAATCTCCTTCCTTAGAGGTTTTTAAGGTCAGGCTTGACGAAGCCCTGGCTGGGATGATTTAGTTGGGGTTGGACTTGATGACCTCCTGAGGTCCCTTCCAACCCTTATATTCTATGATTCTATGAAATAGTGCAACTTGATACTGAGTGCCAAATTGAATTTACGAACCAGAAAGGAAGTGTCGCCTAATGATTAGAGCAAGGGACTGTGTGCTAAGAATTCTAGGTTCTATTCCTCTCCCTGCCACTTATTCTTCCTCTAACCTCTATGACTCTGTTTACCTATCTGTAAAATGGGAATGATACCCATATCATAAGGATATTGTGCATCTTCATTAATTCAAGTTTTTGAAATGCTTTGGAGGTCCATGAATGAAAAGCACTATTGTCTACCATTTAATATGGTCAAACATGATATTTTTCTTGATCATCTGGCATAGCATGCCGAAATATCAAGCATATTGTTTTATTACATTCTCCACTGTCTAACTAATCATACTCTTCTGACTGGTAATGGATATTCCTTGACCATTAGAAACCTTCTGTTCTCAGATCTGTCCTTGTCCTCTTTAACTTTGACCCTCTCTTATATGCAGATAATATCAAACTGTTTCTCTTCTTCATTAATTTCTGGCTCTGACATAACTGATTTCAACTCAATATATCCAAAAATGTTTTTAATTGATAAGAATGCAACAACATTCAAAACTCAGCCATTTCTCTCTCTCTCCTCTCTCTTCAATACATTAAAGTTTATTTATACTTAAATGATTCTATTTCACAATAACTGAATGCTAACTTGTTTGAAGTTTGCAAAACAGCTCTAGCTTTGTGAGTTTTTTTTTAAATAATAATGTAGGTTTCTTGTACATTTAATGTTGAATGTGCTGAAAATTCACAGAATTATCTTAATGACAAGTTGATTGTAGCACAAACACAATTTGAAATAATCAGATCATTACTGGGTATTAAACAGAGATGAGGCATTTCTTCACAGAAAACTTGAGGTCTTAGAAAATTTTGGCAAGTCAAGCCAGACTTGTCTTCATTAAGTAAAGTAATAATATTTTATACCTAAATAGTGTGATCCTGTCACTGGTTCTATGCTCTCAGATAGAACAGATATTGTTACTTTGGGACCAACAAATTAATGTCAGTGAATAATGAACCAATGATGAAAATCCAGAGGAACTATTTTATTAACAGACAAGGAAAATTTATATTTTTACATTGTCTCCAGACATGAGCAAATTGATCCAATGAAAAGAAAAATGTCTTTCTGTAGTCAGAACTTCTGCCTCTAGGTTTTCATGAATCAGTTTTGTTTCCTGTCATACATTACAGGATTTTGTTTAAATTTTGAAAAGGCTAAATAATTTTCATTATCACAGCTATATAAAAAGATCTAATTGTCTTTTGAAAGAAGTGGAAATGCTACAGGGTTTAATTGTACCTGTGTGTGACTGAATGCATCTTCCCTCCCCCTCTTCATTTTAGGATTTTTTGGATAGTTAAGCTTTTGTGCCAATCTGTCTGTTTGATAGTTATTTTTTATTTAAACCAGAGGAAAGAAAGGAATAAGTACTACCAGTTTTGTCTTCAACTTTATGTGTTCCTCAGTGTTTTGAGGATTTATGAACAAAGCTATTTTTTTAATAGATGAAATATATATTGCTACTCAAACGTCAACCTTGTTATCTGTGGGAAGAAATTACATATTCTGTAATTTTTCTTAAAAAAAAACCCCCACAACAAACCAACCAACAAACAAAAAAATGTTCCTTAAGATGGAAAACTTTTTTCAATAATTTTTAGGAGCATTAAGACTAAAGAGAAACCTGCTGTTTGATTTGTGATTAAGGAAAACATTTTCCTTTGTTTTCTTTTAGAGGGATAGAGCACAATATTGGCATGCAGAGATGCCATCTTTATTATGTGAAAATAAATAAGATGAAAATGAGGGGAATTTCAAACAGAAATTACAGATCAGACTTACTGGTACATGCCATAGTTGGTGGATCTTTCTCAGCTCTGAAGTAACCCTTTTCACACTGACAGACAGAAGTTGCTTCTACATAGGTTAAACTGTGTGGAGGGCACTTGGAACACTTTATATTCCCAGCAAATGCTTTATAGAATCCTGGCCTGCAAGCTGTAAAAACAGGAAAACAATTATTCATTATTATCAGTAGGCTTCTTTCATAAATACAATATGTTCAATGCATTTCCAATGCACCTTCCTTTTCGCTGTAATCTAGATACAGAATACATTATAACAAGAGTATTAATCCTGTACTTGGCTTAACATACAGGTATATGGACTCAATGAAAAAAAAATCACTAGTCTCAGAACTCCAGGCAGGAAAACAACGAAAAGAGACAAACAGCTCTCAGCAATTTACACCTGGATTTTAGTCAGCCCCGCAGTTAGGTAACTATTAGTTGGGGATTGGTCCTGCTTTGAGCAGGGGGTTGGACTAGATGACCTCCTGAGGTCCCTTCCAACCCTGATATTCTATGATTCTATTATACAGAAGTCTCTGGTAATATCACACAGTGTAGAAACGAGTTGTATGATGTATCCTAGTCCCATCTGTCAGTAAAGAGAAAAAGTGGGATAGGTTATTATCTATGTAAGGTATTTCTATGGTCCCCAGTATTGAAGTAACTGAACACCTTGCAGTCGTCAACCTATTTATTCTCACAACACCCTTGCGAGGTAGGGATGTGTTATCTCCATTACAGATGGGCTACTGAAGCATGGAGATGCTAAATAACTGGCCAAAGTTCACACAGGATATTTGTGGTGGAACAGGGAATTGAATCCAGTCTCCTAAATCCCAGGCTAGCACCCTAACAAAATTCCTCTCATTATGGTAACTGTGACGCTGGCAAACTAGGTGCCAGCTTTTGCCAAGTCTGTAAGCATCAGCTGAACACTGACAAATTCATAGCTGAAAACCAGACCAGCTCACCTGTCTATTAGTATTGTTCAAGATAGGTGTTAGGCTTGTAAGGATGTGTTTAGTGTTTAGACTCTATGAAATGCTTGTAAATTGCTGAATGCATTAATCTCACTTGAAATGTCTGTATTCCATGCTACAAGATAAAATGTGTTTGTTTTATAATTGTAAAAATACCTGCTCTGAACTTGTGAACTCAGATGGCAAGAGTGGCTGCCCCTCCCTATCCAGGAGGGCTATCAAAATTAAGTGGGCCATTGTAGGACAAAAGCTTTGTTCATTAGCCCATCCACCCATTGAGAAGTACATGCAGAAAGCCTGGTCTCATCTGTCTGAATGCTAGAAGAGGGAAATAAAAATAGCTGACAAAGATTTTTCATCTCTGCTGTTTAGACTCTTACAAAGATTGGAGCTAAGAACAACATCTCTGTCACCTTTTGGAACCAGAGAGTGAACTCATTTGTGTATATGTGTTGCCTGCTTTAAGCTGTAAATAACTCTCATTTCTTTTTCCTAGTTAACAAATAATTAGTTTACTTTGGGATTAGCTACCTGCATTGCCTTCTGGTGTGAAATCTAAGATACAAACTGATCTCCGGTAAGTAACTGGTCTCTTGGGACTGGGAGCAACCTGAATATTTTGTGATTTTTGGTGTAAGTGACCATTTAGCACTAAGTCCAGCTTGCCTGGGTGGTAAAATAGATAGGCAAGCCCACGAGGCTTGTCTGTGACTCCATGGTAAGATTGTTACAGAGATCCAAGAGTTCACATTTGTTACTGGGTTGGTTAAATCTAATGATAGAATATACCACCAGTTTTGTGTGTCTGTCCTGTTTTTGACTATCTGTCCTGAGATAGGCACTCACAGTTGTGAATCACTCCAGACAGTGCAACAATAACGTAAGTCTGACTTCAACAAGGTTTTGTTTTCCAGTTTTGGCTATTTACATTGGAACATTATCTTAGGCCCAAAGCCAATAATGCTACTGAGAAATCTTAAATAAGCCACCAAAGGAACAAGAGAAACCCAGTTAATGAGAAATAAGGGTGTGTGTGCGCGTGTGTGTATGTATGTATGTATGTATATATATATACATACATACACACACGCGCACACACATATATATATATGTATTCCCTTATGTTATTACACTGGTATTGTTGAGGCTGCTTTCATTGAATTCAGTTCTCATCAGTGTACGGAAACAGGGCCGGCTCCAGGCACCAGCCTTCCAAGCAGGTGCTTGGGGCGCCAATCTGCAAGGGGCGGCAGTCTGTGTGTTTTTGCCCCCAAGCAGTGCACCAAATTGCTGCCGCGGACGGCGGGGACAGTCCGTGCACCGTTAGGGCGGCACACGTGTTTCCGCGGCGGTGGCAATTCGACGGCAGCAAAGCTGCCGCTGCGGAAACGCACATGCCACCCTAACGGCACAAGGACTGCACCCGCCGTCTGCGGCAGCAATTCGGCACGCTGCTTGGGGCAGCAAAAGCAGTAGAGCTGGCCCTGTAGGGAAAAGAATATTGTAAGTATTCTTCAGGCAGGCACAAATATGTTGTGTACAAGCTGACCATGATCTTGTACTCTAGGGCTTCACTCTCTAGTGCTTGTGGCTATCAACAGGTCCTGAGAGTGGCTTTTCTGGGGCACTGAGGATAGGAAGACTGGGGTGGAGATCTTCTACCGGCATTGCTTTTGATCACTAAAAACTGCCTTGTAGGTGCTTATACATTATTACTATTCAGTCCAACTAGTTTCTCCTTATGAAAAGTATCAATACCCACACTTGTGAATGTACCAATACAATAGCAGAGTAATAGCCATTTAAGACGTCTCCTCCCCAAGGACCATTCTCCCAAAAATTAATGTAACATATTTATCACCTAAATTTTAGGATCTTTAGTTGCCCACTTCATTGTCTATTGTGCATAACGATTTAACCCATATTGATCACTTCATTTCTAGTGACTGCCTCCCTCATATGTTACCCCTTCTGCTTAGCAATTTGTCCCAATTTTTATTTAGCTCCAATATTCTGCCTCCTTGCCCAAACCCGAAGAAGAGTTCTGTGGAACTTGAAAGCTTGTAACTTCCACCAATAGACGCTGGTCCAATAAAAGATATTATTGCACCTCTCTTATCTCTCTCATATCCTGGGACCAAACACTGCAAACAACTATGATCCACTCATTCATTCAACAGAGAAACAGTACGAGTATTACACAAGATTCAAATTTAAGTCAATGAGAGAGATCCTCAGTCTCTGATCCAGTCCCTGTGCACCATTTCTGAGACTCAAAGAAGCTGGAAAACTGCCTTATTATGACTGATGGGGCTCTTACCATCATCAGGGAATGCTCAGGTTGTGTAGAGTGGCTGGAGTTAGCTTTAGGCCACCTCTTCCTTCCTGCCTCCCGAGAATAAAATGCATAGGGGTCCAACTTCTGATGGATGTTATAGCCCTTAGGATGCTATTATAATTATAGCATTATAAGCATTATATGATATAATTATAGCATTATAAGCCAAAACAAATTAGAGCAGCCTTGAGGCTGCTATGTCAGAAGACAAGATGGCCCCAAGGACTGGGGGGAGTACAAAGATGATTTAAAGTCACCTTCCCCTCTCACCCAGGTCTTCCAAGCCACGCTCTGGAGCACTGAGAATCTGAGTCAAAGTACTGTGGGAACTGACTTAATGCGATCCCATGGCACTCAAGCAATTAATTTAAAAGAAACCAACATGGCCTTATATTAAATCCATCAGGCTGTTATTCTGCAATATTATTTTTAAATCAATTTCAGACTCATACCACCTATTCTGTGATAGCAGATTTTCTTCCTTCCCCTGCCAACTGCCAAATTTGCACATATGAATCTGCACACCTGTCTGACTGGTTTATTGCTTTCACTGCATTACAAACTCCCATTCAGATAACAGAATACAGACTAACTAAAACATGTATGTGCTGTACACAGTCTCACACTCCTTCCAACTTCTCCACCATGAAAGTCTTTGTTATACATATAATTTTAAGGATTAATTTGGCTTTTTCTGATTTTGACACATTCAGGCGTACGTGCTTTACCTTGCCACAAAAGCTAAAAAGCATTTCTGTTCTCCAGTCATAAGAAACAATGATTTTACCAAAGTAACAATTTAAGAATGAGGTCCCCTACAAATATGTAAAGACTGCTAGTGACTATGCTCTTTAGAGCTGCATGGTCAGTTCATACTGAGTTTTTTAAATGATCATCAAGTGATATGTAACATAGCCTACAGGCCAGTCCTGTCCCCTGTGCTGAGTCAAACAGGCTTGACACAAAGACAAGCTCTTCAGTGGCTGGGGTTGAAGGGGAGGGACGGAACAGAAAGATAGGGCCTGGAAAAGGCAACAATTAATTATTTATGAGAAACCAAATTTTTCAAATGCAATTTTAGGAGTTTAGCTTGAGCCCAACAGCTTTAACCATTTTCACAGGGTGCCTCTCCTACTTCCTGTTGAATTATGTAGTGAGGCGGTGTCGCTCCCCGCCGCCCCGGAAAGGGAAGAGCCCATCTGGAGGCTGGAGTGGGCGGAGCTAGGGAGCTCTGAGCCCGCCCCTCAGAGTGTCAGGCGGCGACCCAGAAGTATAAAGGCTCGCCCTCAGAACTCAGTAAGGCCCTAGCCGCTGGAGAGGCCAGACGCCTCCAGCCTAGCCTGTGACTGGGACAACCTCGTGGCCCAGGGCGGCCACCAGGACTGGCCAGGCCTGCCCTGCACCTGCTACCCGGAGGAGTTGCCGGGCCTGCTGCTCGCCCACTACCCAGAGGACAACACCCTGACCAGCTACTAATCGAGGGGGAGACTGGAAGTAGCCCGGGGACAGTCGACCCTAGTCTGGCTGCAGCACTGCCAGAGCCCATGTCAGTATGTTGCGGCCAGGATCCCTACTGACACAGCAGCTAGTCTTCTGCTGCTGCTAGGGCCCCGGGCTGGGACGCAGTGGAGTGGGAGGGCCTGCGTCCCCTCTGCCACCCAACTCGTGGGTGGCAGTCTCCCCCTCTCCCAGGCCTTTTGGAGGCTTGGGTCTACTGGCACTGCTCAGCCCTGTCTTGGGGCCTGAGCCCCTGACTCATTGTTGCCCCGCCTTGACCCAGGGCCTGGGCTTCTTACCGTTTGTACTGTTACTGCTCAGCCCTGCCTGAGG